GCATGATTAATCAATATAAGACAACTCCAGGATGCCGAAGATTAAGAAAAATTAAAATAGAACAGACAAAAGAAGAGGGTATTGACTAATGATCAAAACCTACCAGCGCCAGCGTTAAACTACAACATTGCGGATTCCTTAAACAAAAACGGATCATTAACGCAAATCAACACTAAAATGCAAGGAGGGAAACAAATGCTGATTAGCCAGATTGAACAGTCCCAACGAGCAGAAACAAAACTGGATGATGAATCGATAGAAGCCAAAACTCATAATTAGGGAATTAATGATTAGATAAATCGCAGGTGGGGGTTCAATAACTGACCTGTGCTCGAGCGAAGCGCTGCAGAAGAGAGGGAAAATCGCGGGCGAATGTAGCGATGTTGTACTGACACAGGGTTCGGATCCGGGTCTGAGTGCAAGATGGATATTGGGAAGGGTGCCTTATGTGGCAACCAAATTGAACGTAAGGATGCAGCAGAGCCACTGAAATTTAGATAAAGTTCTTGCAACTACTAAAATGTGGCGCAGCTTTGTACAGAAAGTCTAGTTTTTGATGGGCTGCGGAATTTTGGTGGCAGTGTTTCCTTGGCTCAATAGGCAATTAGTGGTCGGCGTTTTTTTGTAACGTAGAAAATTGATTGTGATTTAAGCCCTTGAGAAACCTGACAAAATGAAATTCACCCTTCAAATATCTTTATTAAGTTTTTTCAGTTATGTTGCTGACTACATCATTGTTGACATGAGATGTGATGTCCAAAAACAATATATATATATATATATATATATGTATGTATATATATATATATTACATAGTTATATATATATATTATATATGTATATATGAAAAAAAATCGTATTTCATATTTGAAAAATTGTTGATGTTCAAATCTTTGTCTTTATAATTTTTTTGAACGGATAATGGATAAATAGGATGCTTGTGAAAAAACTTGCATTACCATTTTAAATTTAATTAATTAATATTTTTTAAATATAATCCATCTCAGCTCCATTTACCTTACAGTTAGAGAGCCATCCAAATGCAGCAAAAATCAGCGCCAATCAAGAGAGTCACATCACCGCAAATCGCTACCTGAAGTTAATTGCGAGCGTGATCAAGAACATCGAGAATTCTTTTCAGTGGACTGTTGAAAGCGTTCCTGGGACTGATTCTTTCTGTTCAATTCAAGAATCTGCTTCTACTTCGATCCCGATACCGACGACTACTGCCTCGGCCGCCACGGCCGCTCTAGAACTGTCGCCTAAAAGCGACGCCGGAAGATCTGCCTCTTGTTCTGCTAGGCGAGACGAAGATTCTTCGAAGAAAATTGCTGCTGAGTCTGATGGAATTGAGCCACGTGATGGCATATGGAGGTTAGTTCAATTATATAGCTATATTGAGAAGAAATCTGTAGGAATATGCTTTCAATTTATGATCCAGAATTTTTTAACATGCTTTCAATTTATGGTTTCCATTTGAGACTTCAAAATGTCCCCGCAGAAAGAACGATTAAGATTGTATTGCTGCGTAGCTCAGCCCGGTGAAGTTATTTGTGTTCCTGATCGCAATGTTGAATTGTTGAGAATTTGAAAGTTCTCCAATGTTTTTAGGTTTATAGCATTTTTCACTGCGAAACAACATTGCGTATTCTGCCTTTTAATTTATGTAGCATTTTTAACGTCCTTTCAATTTAAGCATGATAAACATAAGCTGTTCGAGTTTCACAAAAGTTTATTCAAAATCAAAAGTCCTTTGGATTAATGCTTGGACAGTTCTTATATTAGGAAGTTTGAAGATGGATTACGAACATAATTATGTCCAATGCTAAAGGAATTCGTGAACAACATGTTGCCTTTCTGGCATCCTTAAGTTCCCCTGTGTGAACTTTGAGCAACTCTCCCTTATTTATTATGCACTGCTGAAAATGTTCGTCTCTTCATTGACGCCTGTTCTCTCCATCTTTCCAACTGGAAATTTTGACTAAGCTTTTACTATTGCTCGGATCTCGATTATATATATCAATTTGGAGAGGAGGGCCGACTAACTGTGTACCTTTTTGACATTCATGATGCAGATTCATTAACAAGCAGAACTTTACTTTTTAGAAGATAACTTGCTCTGCCTATTAGAATCCCTCACTTTTTTTAGTTTTTCCTCCTCTTCAGTGGCTGTTATTATTTTTTTTTTTTTGTAGGAGAGGCTTTACTTGGGTGACAATCCTTTACCATCCTTTGAAGTGGAATTCCTGCTAAAAAATAGTGTGCAATAGTTGCCAGATTCTGACAATGTAAGCTCTCGTGTTCTTACCAGGCATGTGATGTAATTGTGGGAAGAGAAGGCCGAAACGAAGCAACATCTGTTAGTAGTAGATTTCGACGGTTATAAATGATATCAGAATCAATCATGGAACGCTGGGCTAGCGAGGAGGTTGAGCCCCGAAGGGATAGATATGAGGTGGTGTGCTAGCAAGGATGATAGACTCTAAAGAGAGGTGGATTGAGGATTTCACATAGATTCGAGAAAGAAACGAGTGCTAGCGAGAATGTTGGCCCCAAAAAGAATGGATTGTGAGACTTCACATTGGTTGAGGAGAAAAACGAAGTATTGTTTATAATAGTGTGAAAATCTCACCCTATCTGACACATTTCTTAAAAGTTCGAGGAAAAAAGTTTAAAGAAGACAATAATAGTCAGTAGAAAGCTTCGATGATATGCACTGCTAAAGTTGTTTTTGAATATTTCTCTCAAAATTGCACTGTGAGCTCAGGTTAATCTAGACTTTTGTAGTGCAATTGTCGAATATATTTTAGTTTGTAATCTCTCTCTGACGTGACAGAATTTGCTGCTTTCCAGATAGCAATTGCTTTACCGGACGAGGGAGTATCGCAAAGATTTCATAAATAGCTGCAGCATTTTCCTACGGTACGTCTATTATATTTCTGCTGTTATCCTTTTGTTATTGGGGATTGGGGTCTATTTCTGGAGGAAGGACATAACGTTCCTAGAATTATCGTCATAGAAATAAAAATGCAAGCAATATAAATATGTAAAATCTTAAAAGATGTTAAAACTAAACTCAAAACTACTGGAAACTCGAGAAAAAATATAAAATTTTAAAGTTTTGTGACCAAATGAAAATTAAATCCAAAATTTAAGAGAGAAAGTGTAAAATTCTGAAGAGGGAAAATATTTTTTGTTTTCAAAATGAATTATTTTTTAGTTATTATTGTTGTATTTATATGTCTAATATTCATTTGTTGAAAGGTCTTTGACCTTTATAGTTTAAAATTATGAACTTAGTTAGTCCATACCCTCATAGCTACCTCGAAAAACAAAATGAAGGTAAAAGGAAGCGAATTTAAAAAATTAAAAGTTCAGAATAAAAAAATAGAGAAAAGAACTTAAAAATGTCGAAAGCAAAAATTCTAATTCAAAAAATTTTGTTCCATCTCTGAGATTTCTGAGTCCACATGAACGACAGAAAACATCTCTGTACAATGCATCAACTAAAAAAACAACAAAAAGAGCCAATATGAAAATTCACGATGAAACAAAAGCAAGCCAATAGCTAAAGTTAAGAAACAAAAGCTTGATCAATTAGCCCTCTCGACATGTCGACTAAAGACAACCTCTAAATCCGGAGGCTTGAAGAACTGCCTCACATTGCCATGGTTGAATTTCATAGAAGATTTTTGCTTCTTGGGGGCGGGCGGGCATTTTGAACCGGACCTGATCCGACAGTCGTCTCCTGTCGGCGTCGGCGGTTGGTCTTCTGTGTCACAGTGATCGAGTTCTTTGTGAATGGGATTCGTGTAAATAGGCACAAGAGGAGGTCGTGACTGAATTCCCGTGATGACCCATTTTCTGGGATCGAATTCGAACCCCATATGGTCTTGGAAATTCTCTGAAAATCCCATTAGTTTTGGGGGTGGTGGGGGAAGGAGAGAGATGTAGGGAAGTAATATAGAGGGGGGGAATAAGGGAATAAAGAGGGGATTGGTTTGGATAAAAGCAGAGGAATAAATAAAATTAAATGATCAAAGTTGGTGGTGCCGAGGATTTGCAAAGGAGAACATGGAAAGTGACTTTGGCCTAATTTGCTTTGCGTTGCGTTTGTTGCAGCTAAAGAGGAGTTTTTCCTCTTTTCTTTTCCCTTTTCTCTAGGAATCAAGAAACAGTGTAAAAATTTGGGAGTAAAAGGGAAGGAATAGTGACAATGCGAAATTTAGATACATGCTTTAATAGATTCCCTTCCCAGAGTGGGGAGAGAGGGAAACTCCATGAACTTAAGCTGACCTGCTTACGGGGCCGTTGACTTCAAATTTTGGATATTGTCAACTTTGAACCTAAATTCTTATAACTCTGCTTTTGATTTTCTAAAAAGCCACTTACCAATGAAGATATATTTCTTATTTATGAACTCATGATCATTCCCTAAATTAACTAACCTGGGACTCCCTCCCAACTCAACAAATTTCACCCATTAAAATCTTGTGTCTCATTCCCTGAGCCAAAACAACACCACATTTAATTAACAAAACACCAAACTCATTAATTTGCTCTGAGGTTGTTACACAATCAATCAGATATAGAAAAAGAACTCAATAAATTAAATATATCAATCACAAAAAATGAAAACTTTAACTTATTAGAATTATTAAATGAATCACCCATTCAAGTGTAGAGTTTAAATTACAGAGCTATATGAAAAGTAGTGAAATTTGCAGGAACGGTGCAAGCAAGAGTTATTTACCTAACAATAAAACAAAACAATTATATAGATATTTGGGGAAAAAGAAAAGAAAAAAAAAACCCCAGAAAAATTCAAACTAAAGAGCTCCAATTTTCAAGGTGAGTTATTCTCAAGCCGAAGGAATCTTGGAATTTGTAGGTTTCTTAACAGTGCTCCGCAAAGGAGTTTACCAAAAGCTGCTTTTTCTTCCTTATCCAGTATTCCATATTCCTCACCTTTCAGTCCAATTTCAAAATTCAAAAGCCAGTGTAAAACATGACATCCAATCCCATAGAATAATTGAGTTCTCATAATAAGGTTAGATATTATGTATGCTTGCAGAAGCTTTACAGTTTACATTATCCATAGAGAGTACATAGTGAATTCGAAGCCGATCTGATCACGCCCTTGATTAACGCCCTTCGTATTCCTCCATGAATGCATCATTGAACTTCTTGAAGCTTGCCATGATCTCAGGCATGTCTTCCTCAGCAGGTAAGATGGTTGTCCTCAAATGGAACACCCTGCAAGTAAAAATCAGCCAATGCCAATGACCAAGATACAAGAAGACACCTTGTAAATAGAGAGATTATTATATAATATAATTACCCTTCTTTCTGCCCAAAACCTGAGCCTGGAACAGTGGAGATTCCAGTGGCTTCTAAGAGCTTGAGGCAGTATAAAACATCAGGAACTTTTCCCAACTGTTTGGCAGCCTCGATCGCTCTCGGCGGGAGGCGTATTTGTGGGAATGAATACATGGCACCTGTTAACAAATACTCTTAGTCTTTTTAATCTAATATCATAGCAATGAAATTTTGGGAGGGTAGAGAAAAAGTAAAACAAAAAAAATGAAACGTTCTAACAAAAAAACAGTTTACCTTCTGTGAAATTGCAGACTACATTTTTACAGCTATTGAATCCATCAGTCATTATTCTTGCCCTTCTCCTCAGTGATTCAAGGATCCCCTTGCTACAATCCCAAAAATGATAAATGATCATAAGAAGAAACCAGACAGCCATTAAGAGGGGGATTTGATGCTAGCCATACCTTTCCCTAGAATAATGATCATAAGAAATATCACCAGGCTTGGGTGGGTTGACCATCAACCCCATCTGCAAATAAAGAAAGCAACTTTCCATATGAGAGAATTCAGGCAAGCCAAATCTAAAGGTTAAGATCAAACATATAACACATTGAGTTGACTCACAAATATCTGAGCAGGAACGTTTGGACTGAGTGATATAGAAGCAACCTTATATATTTCATCGACCGTCTGCATCATCGACGGTTCAATGTTACACAAGTATCATAAAAATGCTGGATGGAGAGTAATGAAATTGAATGGTATTCTTATTAAGTAATCAAACCTTTGGAGGAATGTTGGTCATCTCGAAGTATCCACCCCGCTGTCCACATTCTCCCCAATATCCTTTCGACACGGTGTGAAAAGAAATAAGCTGCAGTTCCTTGCTAATAGGTGGACCCATATCTAGTAATACCTGAGAGATACAACATATCATATCATCGAGTTGAAAACTGAACCGAAAAGAAAATGTTGAGAGGCTCAAACATGATGATTTTACCTTTCTCGAACTAATGAAGGGGCGTTCATCCTGGTATACGTTTTGCTGATACACCTCATCTCCAAGTAAGACCAAATTTTCTTGGAAACAGAAGTTCAGAATCTCTCTCAGATTTGCTTCACTAAGACATTGCCCAGTGGGGTTGCCAGGATTTATAATCACCATTGCTCTTACCTGACCAGAAACCAACATATAAGACACGAGTTATTGGTATGACTTTGGCCTGAAGATATAAACACACTCAAACATAAATGTCTACCGAGCTATGTATGCAAGGATCGACTAAGATACCTTAGATTCTAGATTCAAAAACCGAAAAGTAATATTCTTGGTTTCATGTTTTTATGGAAAAACTGCATACAGGATTTCGCTTTCACCAACAAATATGGTAAATATACTAACATTAATTCCTTTGGAGCGAGCCTGAGCAACTGATTGGCGAAGGTCGTTAATGTCAAGACCCCAATTTTCAGTCTCTTCTAGGTAGTATGGAACAAGAGAGCCCCCAAACAGTGCTATTGTAGCCGAGTAAAGAGGGTATTGTGGAACCGGGACCAAAATCTGATAAAGCATCAATTTAAGCTTAACATGAAGAAAGGGGGTGAAGAGAATGGGGGGAAAAGCTATTCAAGTAACATATTTTGCAAGAAAAATCAATCAAATGGTCATGGTCAGTCAAGAAATAATACCCCATCCCCTTCACCACGGATAATGGTGTTCAATATCTGCATTACACCTTTACTAGCACCGTCGGTGAGGTATATGAGTTCTGGATTGCTGTCATAACAGCAATGAACAATAAGGATTTTAAGGTCATGAATCTAAGAGCATGTTTGAAATGACTTTCTAAACGCTTTAAAAATTATAGAGATATCATCATTATCACCTTGGATAGCCATCTCGCCTTCCTATAAAGTCTGCTACTTCCTTCCTAATTGCAGGAAGTCCTCGAGAATCGCTGTAAGCACCTAGAAGTATTTTGGAAGGATAAATGCCAATCAGTTCTATGTAGCTTCTTGAAGATCCTAACTTCTATGAAACCAATTTCAGAACTTCCTCAATCAGTTGTACTTCCAAGTTCCATGCTATTACTATAGAAAATAGCATCTGAAACTAAAACTGTCCTCACTTATATGATTTCATGACACCCCTCCTCACCGGCAAGATCGTTCAACGATTAGTCCAGAATCACTCTAACTTGTGAAATCAAATTAAGAAATTACCTAGCCCTCCCGGAATCAGCGAGAGATAACTTTTGGCTCTTGCAATAGCATCAGCAGGAAATAATAATCCTACATTAGGATCTTCCAACAGAAAGGGAGCTTGACAAAGAGCAACAACCTGTAGAAGCAAGGGTTAGGTAGTATTATGGTGACCCATTGGGACAGAAGTTGACTTCGGTCACAAATGAAGCAAATAAATCGGTTGAATTACAAGTCTAGTTTATGAACTTTTATGTTCGTGTTTACTTAGTCACTGAACTTGATAAAGTGTTTAATAAGTCCTTCAACTTTCAGGGACCTATTGGATACAAAATTATTGGTTCAAAGGTTTATTAAACACTTTTAAAGTCGGAGGTCTATTAAACATAAAATTAAAAGCTCTGACACCTACTAGACACTTATAAGTTCGTGGACCTATTAGATATAAACTTGAAAGTTGATGAAACGACAAAAAGATCAAACTGCAACGACGAAGTGGCTGTAGTAACATACCTGACGTGGAAAAGTCAATGGCTTCTGTCCAAGAGCATGAGGATTCCCAACATTTGTGAAAATAATCTGCAGAAAAGTTTGAAACCATGAGCAATAGGAATATTTGGGCCAGAAAAATTGCTCTGAATGAGACTGAAACAAGAGATAGCAAGGGTGCGAGTTGAAAGTGCCACCAAAGTCCCGCTTGGCTATATAATGGGACAGCCCAGGCTCAGCTTCACGATTTTAAAACATGTCTGTTAGGGAGAGGTTTCTACACCTTTATAAGGAATGTTTCCTTTCTCTCTCCAACTGACGTGGGATCTCATAATATAAGTAGGATACAATATCTCCATTGGTATAAAGCCTTTTGGGTGAAACCAAAAGTAAAGACGTAAGAGCTTATATCTAAAATGGACAAGATCATACCGATGTGGAGATAAATGCCAAGTTTATTCCAAAAACTTATTGCAGGACAAAAGTATTGATCAAAGGTGAAACATAACCAATTAACCAAACTCCTTAAACAATCAAAGCATACCTTTTTCCCATCTTTTTGAAGCTCAGAAGCTCGCAGATACAGTTCTCCTCTCACAGCATACTGAGCCTTTTTCACATTTTCATTAATCGACTCGTAGTCTAGTGCCTTTTGTGACATGATGATTTACTTAACCTCTAGTAGCTATTACTCCAACTAAACACAATCTGCCCGGAACCTGAATTTTAGAGAAGTAAGATAAATGAGAAACCAAATGACAGAAATCTTTAAATGCTCTTAATGGTAAGCAAACATTGACCTGAAATCACAGGTTATCAAGTTTTATCGCGTTACTATTGGGAATACACACACAAAAAGAAGAACAAAAAACTCCAAACCTATCAACTTGAGTTTTAGATTAAGCATTTGAGTTTTGTGTATGCAAAGGACAGACCAAAAAGCTTATAGCTCTTTTGATTTGGGTATTCACATAAACGAGGAAGAAATCAATATACAATTAACAAACTACACAATAAACATGCAAAGAAGATAATTTACAGAAAATGGGAAGCGAAACACTCCCAAATAGAGAAAATTTTGATTCAAGTGTTTGCAAGGGGAAGAAAAAGAACTTGTTTGTTCGAGGCAAGCGCTGCAGAAGGTAGTGGAACTCGTGAGCGAGTGACACAGAATTGGGAGCAGGGGCTCAGTTTTTGTTGGCAATGAGATTGTGAACGAAACGATGCAGCAGAGCCACTGAAATTTGGAATGTGGATTTTTGCCTTAAGGAGATAAAGCTGATGCACCAAAAGTGTGGCGCAGCTTCATGCAGAAACTTCAGTTTTGATAAGAGTCCAGAAATTTGGCGGTTCTGTTACGTTGGCTCATGGTCGTATTCGGCCAATGAATCGACAAGTAGTGGCGGGTGTTTCTTTTCACACACAAAAATCAAATTCTATAATCTTCATGATCTTTAAAATAAATACTATATCAAAATTTAAATATTCTTTGTTTTTTTTTTTTTTTTTTTCATAAAATACCATTAAAGTATGAAGTTATGGTATAAACTTTTAATTTGAATGATGTGGTTTATTATGATTACATCTTTTTATGGTTGCAACGAACCCATTTTATTAGTATTATTGTAAAATTGAAAATTTGATATCGATATCAATATCGACATTAATTTTGAATGAACATCAACATTAATGTCCAAGATGTCAAATTAGGGTATGCCAATTTGTAATCCCTTACTTTGCAGTAAAGTGTGTTTATATTATCAATTTAAAACATGCTGTCAACATCATTTACAAAATTAAATTTTTTGTGTATTAATTGACATTTCTATTTGTGTCAGCGTGATAAAAGGTCACATCTCTATTTGTGTTACTTTTTTTTTAATTTATTTAACCTATATATTTTTTTAAATTTACTTATCTAATAAACATATAATTAGAATTTTGAATTTATATCCGGATCAATTATTGTTTTAAAATTTGAATTTATAAAAGATTATTTAAAAGTTACCAAATAAACACGTCGGAAAGTTCCAAAATTTATTAATAACTAATTCGTCCTTTTCCATTTTTGTAGTGTCAAAGTAAATTAATGGATTGGGAAATGAGTCGAATGACACGGAAGGGCAAAATGCAGCCGGCCTCGGGAAATCCGCTTTGCAAACATACTAAGGTTGAAACGTCGTCGTTTGAGATATTTACATTTTTACCCAGCAGAACAACGCGCGCTTTTATATGCCCGGGGGTATTTTTGACTGCATACTATTCCTGGCACCAGCAACCGGAATAGACTTTATACGGTTAAAGAGGCAACCAAGTGCAGCATAAAACGGCGCCAGTCGCGAGAGTCACATCGGCCATATGGCGGCAAACCGCTCTCTTCTATTTCTGTTCAAAAGCCCTAACACACGCGTCGAATCCTCTCGAAGTTCGTCGTCGGTAATACTTTCTAGAACATACGCCATCGGATGTTCAAAGACAAAGATAAAGAACCGCATTGCGTGCGAGATCAAGAATTTCGAGAATCCTTATCCGTGGACTATCGAAAGCGTTCCTGGTACTGATCCTTTTTCCTCAATTCAAAATTCTGCTTCTACTTCGTCCTCCGTACCAATGGCTGCTGCCTCAGTCGCCGCCGCCGGTCTGGAATTGACTTCTAAAAGCGACGCCAAGAAGATCTGCCTATTTTTCTGCGCGGAGACGAAGATTCTCGCGGAGAAAATCGCCGCTGAGTCTGATGGAATTGAGCTACGTAATATCTCATGGAGGTTAGTTAGATTATTTTAGCCATAATGTAGGAAATATCTAGGAGAAGCTTCATTGGATAGTTTTCTAATCGTTGCAGTATTTTTAATTCTGACTACGGCTTATCGCTGTGACGATCGAGAATGTATAGATGTGCTTTCAATTGAGAGTTTTCATTTCAGACCTCAAAATTTCACCGCATATGCAGCTGCTGAGATTGTATTGCTCCTGATCACAATGTCGAGTAGTTGAGATTTTGGAAACTCTTGTGTTTTCGAACTTACAGTATTTTCACTTCAAAACAATATTGCGTATTCTGCTGGTGGAAAATGTATTTACGTGCCTCTCATATCATTGATTAAAGCATGATAAACACAAGCTGTTTAAGTTTCTAATTTCTACTTGTATTCGTTCTAGTTAAAATTTCTTCAAAATCAGAAATCCTTTGGATTAATGCTTACTACGTTCTTATGTTAGGAAGTTTGAGGATGGATTTCCGAACATATTTATACCTAATGCACAAGGAATTCGTGGACATCATGTGGCTTTTCTTGCATCCTTCAGTTCACCAACTGTAATCTTTGAGCAACTCTCCGTTATTTATGCTCTGCCGAAATTGTTCATCTCTTCATTTACGCTTGTTCTTCCCTTCTTTCCAACTGGAACTTTTGAGCGCATGGAGGATGAAGGAGATGTTGCAACTGCTTTTACTCTTGCGCGGATCCTATCGAATATACCAATTTCAAGAGGAGGACCAACGAGCCTTGTGACTTTTGACATTCATGCCTTGCAGGTTCAATAGCTACTATCTATAAATATAAAATGATCAGAACTTTCCTTTTTAGCATATAACTTTCCTGTAAGAATTCTTCGTCACCTTTTTTTAGTGTTTTTTCCTCTTCGGTGGCTGTCTTATTAAGCACTTCTTGCTATTTTTCATCAGGAGAGGTTTTACTTTGGGGACAATATTTTACCTTGCTTTGAAAGTGGAATTCCTTTGCTAAAAAATAGATTGCAGCAGTTGCCAGATTCTGACAATGTAAGTTCTCGTCTTCTATGTACTATTGTTTCTTCCTACGTGTTCATTTATAGCTTACGTTGATACGATTGTGGATGTTTTCATAGAAGTTTATTTTAGATCGTTCTTGATTTTTTAATATGTCTCAAACTGCATTATGAGATAAGATCGTTCTAGAATTTTGTAGTATCTATATCATTGAAGTGACAGAATTTTCTGCTTTCTAGGTAGCAATTGCTTTTCCTGATGATGGAGCATGGAAAAGATTTCATAAGCAGCTGCAGCATTTTCCTACGGTAAATAGATTATATATGTATATATTTTATGAGAAGCCAAACTTTCATTCAGAAAAAGTCAATGATCTTCCTTGTCATGAGAGAATATGATTGACTGTGTGAGGCCCATAATGGATATCAGTAAACAGGGGTATCAAGTGTAACAGGCTCTCCACTGCTCAGATAGCTGAATAAGTTACTTTTAGTTTTTAGGACTTATCTTTGCAAGTAATTTCAACTGGTTAGCAATCAATTTAGTTAATATACGATTTTCCACATTAGCAAGTTCTGGATTCAAGATTGTATTAGAGGAAATACAAGAAGTACAATGTAGAAATCTTTCTCAGGGTGAACAAAATGAGTCCTTGTTTAGAAAACAGAACGGCCATTAAATAATCACGTAATGGATTTAATATTTATAGAAGTATTAAGTTATGCTAGCCCTAATATGCTTATGGTTTTTCACAATTGCCACAGTAAAATTGCAAAATACTAAGTTTCACTAAGATTGTGACAAAATTTTCTAGCAGCAGAGTTGAACCTAACCAACTGTGGAGTGATTTTCATATGCTTCAAGCTAGAAGGTTTGGGATAGTGAGGATAGCGCGGACAAGTTTTTATATGAACTTAAAACATTAATGGAAATTTGGGATGAAAGGGGTGGACTCAAAAATCAAAGAAATACAATTATATAATAGGAAGTCAATTAGGAAGATTTCTTAAAACATAGGCATTTTGAGTTAGTTTTGTGTATCGTGACTAATCTCATGAGACAGATTTCTTAAAACATAGAGATGAAGTCAAAATTGGGAATACCTAGAGATGAAGATTTCTTAAAACATAGGCATTTTGAATTACTTCGGTGTATTGTGACTAATCTCATGAGACAATATATGACCTCGTAAATTTTGATGTCTGGAAAATTGAGCTATTACTAGTGGATAGCCGTAGAAATTTTAACTCGTGGCTTCAAATTATTTAGTTATGCAACTTATCTTTATGCTCTTGTTATACCTGGGATTGGTGTCTATTTCAGGAGGGACCTAAGATTCCTAGAACTCATTGTTGTTTCAGGAACATCATCATATTTTAAAAACATTTAAAAGAATTGGTTTTTTATAGCTTAAATGATTTAAGTAGATATTTGCATGAAAATGCAAGTTGTTTTATTTCTAGTCATTTGTTTGCAAGTATGAGTTTTAGATTCACAAGCATGAGTACTAAGCAAATTTGATGATGGTAATTATATCATAGATTTAGCATGATTTGTTTAATATTTAGATACATTGCATGTACTATAAACACTGCAAGTCATACTTGCAAGATGAGCTAAATTTTGGATGATCATGGGAAATGTAGCTTTTATTTGAAGGGCCTGTTTGAATATGTGAACCAGAATTTAGTTCAGCTCTCTATTTAACATTTATTTTCCACAATTGGAAACTTCCATTGATTTATGAAAAATACAATAGGGGAAGCAAAATATACCCCTATCTTATGAGCTCTCAAAAAATTATATCCCTATCTTGGAAACACTCAAAAAATTACTCCAAAATTTGCTAATTACTCTTGGTGGGTGAACAAAAAGGTTTAGCTATAGAGAATACCATTTTGTAGCAATGAGTTTTGTCAACGCCCATAATTCCTCCATTCCCTTCCTTTTCCCACAAAAGTTCTATTACTTCGCTCAAGCCATAGCTCCCAAAAAGTGCACCAACTTCATTCACCCATACAATTTCTTGCATGTTCTCTCAATCGATCTCCACACAGTCTGTAGGATATTGGCTTGGGCATTCAGATATCCAATAGCTCGTTCTGAACTCCCTGGAACAGACATTCAAGCAGTAAGAACTGAATTGAGTTTACTTTGAAACAAGGCTGGGACCAATTGGAATTTGACATCATCTTCCTGATATTTTTTTAACAACCTCGCTTGGATTAACTCCAAGGAGTAATGTCCATGAGGACTTCGTTTTCTTTGGCATTTTGTGTTTCCAAATAACCTTCAGAATGTTTTCTCAGTAGTCTCTGATTTGTCCACAAACTGCTGAAGTAAATATTTCGCAGAGCAGTTCACTGATTGCTCCGGATTCTACACCCTTTTATCTGGGCAATTTCTTAGAGGTTTACCATAATGCTCAGTAGCCTCTGAACCTCTTCAAATTTTATGTAATTGGCTTCATAGGTGATCTTGAAAATGTCGTAGTGAATAAACAAGATATGCCAAGGACTTACAATGCGAATATAAGTCTTAACATTGTGTCGTGTATTGAAACTAGCCTTGTTCTTTTTTTTGAGTTCAACATGAGGTATAGAGATTCAAACTGATCTTTTAGTCGAGTGTATGTGTCTTAACTAATTGAATTATACTCTGGC